GTAAATGTTCTGCGTCCGCCCCTGCTCCCATGTGAACGTCCGCCATTTTTGCCTACTTTTGAAACTTGAAACCCAACGCTTATCCGAGAAGCACGAACAGAATTTGATAGAAAGTTCAGATTTTTGAGATATTGCAGAATTACAGATCGATGGAGAAGGAGAGAGTATTTATACTATAAATTTGTGCGATTTTTGCGTTGAAGAGGCGTTTCTGGAAATTTTTTTTTGGCGGTTCTAGTGCTTTCTACGTTTTTCTACTATTTTCCCACATCAGGTTAATAATAATTTAAGGGAGTGTTTGGGACTCATTTCTTTTAAAATTTATTTTTAATCATACATATTTTATTATAAAATGATGTTATACCTAAATTGAAAAAATCCCTTTATTTTTAATCAGACATTCTCCTAAAATTGTTATTCAAAATGTATTTTTCTCTTAAAATAGAGATCAAACAAGTCTAAATTTTTTTTATTGTTATTATTATTCTAATTTGGGTTCTTTATTAAATCATCAATCACTAGATTACTACTTCCTCATAAAAAAAAATAAAGAGCCACTGATTGCTCACCAAATTTTAAACAAAGTTGTCTGTTTCAATTTCATCCATAGAAAAAGATAAATAAAAAAATTCACGTGACAGATGGAAATTGGGAGTGACCACTAAATGTAAGCCCATGTTTGGTTCAAATTAAAATTTGATTGTAGTCTCAAATCAAAATTAACAATTAATTTTAACAACACATTTCATAAATTTTTATCAAAATTTATTTAAAAAATTGATTTTAATCAATGGCTAAAACTTTACAGATGGACAAAAATGTTGAATGTAAAATCTTTTTGTACATTCACTTTGACAGCTCCTCACATGGGGGTGGGACCCACAATCGCGGGTCCCACACCCATGTGAGGGGCTGTCAAAGTGAATGTACAAAAAGGCTGTACATTGTGGGCCCCACCCCCATATGAGGGGATTGTCAAAGTGAATGTACGAAAAGGCTGTACATATAGTATAGTTCAATTCATTTTCACTCTCTTAGACGTTAATAATGATTGTGGGCTGCAGCATCACCAATTTCAGGCGTGTTTGTTCAGATGTCAAGGAAAAAAAAAAAGAAATCAACCAACTGAACATTTTTTATATCTCAGAATTTTGTTGAATGCTTGCAACAGAACATGTACATCAGAAGAATGTGAAGAAGATATTTCACGTTGACCATTTAAAGAGACAGAGAAACTAGATGAGAGCCATCATAACATACTCAATACCCTTCCTCTTGCTGTTATTGCAAACTGAAATGACAGAAGGCATATAAGCTTCGTCACCTTCCCTAGAGCAATAGCTGACGGCCACCCCTCTTTCTAACAATCGATTATGCTACTTGTACAAAGTGACTTGACAAATTGAATTTACAAAGTAATGTGTCAGGAATTAAAAGACTTAAAAGTCATTCCTCTATTCTTCAGATAAATCAAGATATTCTATTCCCAATATAGAATAAGTTTAAAGTATTTCTACTAATAA